TTTTAAATTTTAACAGATAAGGCCACCAAGCTATATTCGCTATTTTTATAAGCGACCTGGCAATCACAAATGAGAGCTCGACGAAGTTGGCTCATCATCATCACGTGGAAATTTACAGCAGTCGCCAAATACTCTGAAACGCGTGGTGACGTTGATTCTCAATGCGGAGGAGGAAAAAAACCGGAGAACCCTGGAGAAAAAAGCCATGCGACCAAGGGGAGAGAGAGAGACACGCAAACTCCAAATATACAGCAGCAGGCTTCAGGGTCGTGATCGAACCCACGACCTCCTGTACACCGGGCGAGGGAGTTAAGATCTCCTAGCCATCGTGATGATGATGAGAGACACGCAAACTCCAAATATACAGCAGCAGGCGTCAGGGTCGCGATCGAACCCACGACCTCGTGTACACCAGGCGACGTAGTTAACATCTGGCCACTGAGCTATATTAACTCTTTTTCAAAAGCGATCTGGCTATCACAAATGATAGCTCAACAAAGTGGTTCAAATCACGTGGACATTTACGGCAGCCACATACTCTTAAAAAGGCATGTTTCTAAATGCGGAGGGAAAACCCGGAGAAAAAACATCCACGCGGGAGATAGCAGTCGAAGCAAAAACTGCGTCTTCACGTGAGAAATGTAGAATATAAGAAGCAAATCAGTGTTAAATATGCACATGTACAGTAAAGAAATACAAGTTGATTCTAAATTTGAAGGCGAAAAAAACCAGGCCTGCAGAAAAATCCACGCGACCACAGAGAGAGACACGCATGCTCCAAATACACAGCAGGCGTCAGGGAAGTAACCAATCATACATACGCATGGAATCTGTGACAACTTCGGACATACACACATCTATCTATCCATCCAAAATCCGTTGTTAGCAGGGCGGAGGTCAATTAGTGGGGGAGTGAGTGGTTTAGTCGCTAGTGGAAGTTAGCTACCACCTATGTCGTTATCCCGTACGTTTATGTAATTACCCTTTCGTCGGGGTGCTGTAGTAAACGTGTTGCCTCCAAGTTCTAGCGTGTGTCTCCATGCATGCCACTACATTTGTATAAAGCCCACGCGGGTTTTGTTATCTGCAAGCTTTGGGCAACCCCTTTGATGCATACGGCCAGGTTCACCCCCCCCCCCCCCCCCCGACAAAGCAACATGAATATGAATTAATGTCTAATTTTCATCAGATCATCTTGACAAGAGTTATTGTGACCCCCCCCCCTCCTCCACATTACCGACAGACGGGATAGCCATCTCACTCCACTGCTGGATGAAAGCCTGCCCCGCCCCGTTGTGATGGCTCAGGTATTAGTTAGTTAGTTTTTTACCAACAGAGAGAGTACTTGACGCACTGATCAGCGTGGGCTTGGTGACATTTCGGGCTGCGTGGTGGTGGTGGTGGTGCAGTACCACCTCCGATTGGCACGGTTGTTGGCCACGTAGGGTGCGAAAGAAGTTCAACAAAGAGTGAACATTTTTCGCTCGCCACTGATGCCAGCCGCGGACGAAAAATCAAACTCGGGTCACCGGGGTGTAAAGTGCAGCGCGCTAAACGCTCGCGGCGCTCCGCCAATGTTGATGAATACGACACACGGATCACATCACGTGTGCAGGAATCGATTGCTGGGGGGCGGGGGGGGGTTGGAGTGTGTTCCCGGGTACGTGAGAGCGTGGTGGGTCGGTCAGCGCGCTGCAATCACGAGCCCGACTGCCACCAGCTCGATTCCCGCTCACGGCCGATATCGGTGACGAATATCTGAACAGGCCCTGGGCATCCCCTAGATCGGCTCGGCCTAAGATGAGTTAGCGTACCTTAGTGTGGTGTGTAAACATCAGCAATGGGGTGACGAAGGTGGCCGGACGTGGTGGTGGCCACCTAGCCCCCTCGTGTTGCCGTGTTGGCCTCCATAGGTGCACGCTAACAGCACCTGCCCCAAGAGTCTGTTTATGCTACAGGGGAGAGGGAATATTGTGGCCTTTGGTGTTGTGAGAAGGCGGGAGGCCGGTAGAAATCAGAGCTGTGGACCCTGTCACAGACCGCACACGGGAAATGCAGGCGGACCACAGCTCGTGCGTTAACGCATTCCAATTTGTGTGGGGGGGGGGGTGTTGGAAAACATTGCAGTATATTATTAGAGTTGCGTTGTTGCTCTGGAGACCGGGAGATCGATGGATCGACGTTCGGTCGCCGCGTTGAGCGCATTCGTCATCGACGCGGTCGTCCAGTGCGCACGACTGCGGCCATCCAGGACGGACCGCAGTGCAACGTGTAACGCCGCAACAATGCTCCGATTATCCGGGCTTGACCACCACCTGAACGTGACATTGTAGTTCGTCACTCCGCATCTACAGCAGCGGCCAGACGGAGGAGGAAAAAGGAGACCGTTGTATCTCCAAATGAAGACGCAGCGGAGGATGAGGTTAGCCGGCAGGTAGGTCGCGTGTGTTGGTGTAAAGTGGTGATACCTAACAACTCTTCCCAGGCGTTACCGAACCTACTCTCAACGCGCATCCCCAATACGGTAGTCAATCATCCTGCCGCGTAATTATTCCGATGATTGATGGGACCCGCATAAAAAAAAAATTGGAAACGTTTGAAGCCAAAATGGGCGAGTGAAAAATATGAGAACGACAAACATTCAGCCTGATTACGCAAATGTATAGAACACACAAACATAAACAACCATTTTTACATTTGTAGACACTTTTTTTAGCACAACTTTTAATAGATTAGCAACAATTCACGGGTTTGATCTTACTTCATAATGTATGCTGTACTCCATGGTAATGGATGCCACGGTGACTAGCAGATGTTAGATCCATCGCCTAGTATGCAGGAGGTTGTGAGTTCGATCACGAACCTGACGCCTGCTGTATATTTGGAGTTTGCGTCTCTCTCTCTCTCCCCGTGGTCGCGTGGATTTTTCTACGGCTCCTCCGGTTTTTCCCTCCACGTTTAGAATCAACGTCACACGTTTAAGAGTATTTGACTGCTAGACATTTCCACGTGATAAGCCCACTTCGTTGGGCTATCATCTGCGATGGCCAGGTCGCTTCTGAAAAAAGAGCTACATAACTCAGCCCGCCTTACCTGGTAAAATAAATGACTTTTTATTTAATTAAACCACCAGTATTCAGTCAAGAAGACACGAATTACAGTGGCATCACTCGTGCCTCGCGATTAGAAGCTTCCGAGTTGAAATTCCGACTCGGGCACTTTTCTGCGTGGAGTTTCGATGTTCTCCACACCCCCAACGCCGCCCCCCCCCTCTTCTGGATTGGGTTCCCTTCGTGGTCGCCAGCTTCCTACAAAAGCTACACACCTACAAAGGGGACTTGGTCGGTGCCGACACATCCCGTTGTCGCGGGAGCCTCGCTAAAAAAAAGTATTCGGACCCAGTGTGCGGTATCCAGGATTACCCGTCTCATCACGATCACGTGTGACCAAACAACACTGGCTCATGGGTGTTGTTGTTGTTGTTGCTGCTCGTGAGTGCTTTCTTGTCTGGAGTACAGGTGGAGCCAATCGTACGTTCTCAATCTGCGCTGGCGCCGAGTGTGTTCTCCGCTTTCATCCCAGAGCTAAAAATAAAAGCGGTATTGCTGATGGGACGAAACGTCCCCAGTGGGTGACCTCCCTGGAACAAAGTGTCTTTCGACTCGGCGTTGTTGATTTTCCTGGGTATACAAGACACTTATTTATATGTCAAACAGCGGTGTCAACTAGCCGGCTCCTCTTCATCATCACCGTCATAATCGAAGGGGGTGGAACAAAAAAAAAACCGCTTAATTTAGATTCCATCGGCCATCGAGCGTAGACGTCGTCGGGAGACGTACCTCGGTCTTCCGTTCGTTATTTCGCCCGTACGCAACAACAGCGCGTAACGGCTCTCGCGGGCTAAGCTGCCAGCCCGAACGGCTCCCGTCGAGCCGAGCGGATCTGGCCCAGGGGAAGCCGGCAAAAACCCGCGGCTCCGAAGCCGCACGCGACGGGCCCCTTTCTAAGGACTGCTTCTTGACGTTGTTTATTAAGGACCGCCGTCGTGTATTCACCGCGTGCATTGTTCTTGATATATTGAGCAGGGGGTTTGTTTTGTTGTTGTTGTTGTAGTATTATTTGAGTTCACCAACCCCTGCTCTAGACGACCGTGCCAGTTTTGTCAGTGGGAGAATTCCCCTCGCTCGGCTCGGCGCTCCGGTTACTTCATAGAAAACATTTTGACAAAAAACGCAACGGGGTACATTTTTTATTAGGAGTTAGGAATCGAGGTAAATTTTCCAAAGCATGGAAAACGTTGGCAATGGCACTGGCGCATGCAAGGCCTTTGGCTTAACCTTGTGAATCGTGGTTACAAAGTTGTGCATTGTCACGTGCACACACCACACAGACCTCAATATCGCCGAATTATCTTTCCGTGCCAACTCAGCAGGAAAAACGCTGCCTGCGATAGAATGTTCAACAGTTAGGTTATGGCGAAATGTGTTTTTTTTTGTGTTCAAATGTATACAATCTTAGGATCACGATACATCCACCATCTCAAGCAAGTGAGAATCAATAATTTACGATTCATGCAAATCACGTGCAAATGTTGCTCGTGTGACGAATCAGACGGAACGACACCGGTGACATAATCAAGAGAGCTCGAACCGGGCCGCAGAATCGAGTTACTGAATAGAATCATCATCCCTAAACCGTGACAATTTTTGCCAAGCCGAGGGACGACAGGGTGAGTCGCTATCCTGGTTCCCATTCAGCCAGTCCAATTAAAACGAAACTATTTTATTTTACCAGGTAAGGCCCCACTGAGCTACATAGTTCTTATTCAGAAGCGACCTGGCTATCACAAATGATAGCTCAACGAAGTGGCCCATCATCACGTGGACATTTACAGCAGCCAAATACTCTAAACGCGTGGTGATGCTGAGTCTAAATGTGGAGGGAAAATCCGGAGGACCCGGAGAAACATCCACGCGACCACGGGGAGAGAGAGAAAGACACGAAAACTCCAAATATTCAGCAGGCGTCAGGGCCGGGATCGAACCCACGACCTCCTGTATACCAGGCGAGGTAGTTAACATATCCTAGCCACCATGGTGCCACCATTGAAAACCCATCAGTCGTAGTTGCTGGAGCGGGGCTCCCGCTGATTCTTGCGCGCGTAGTTGAGCTCGGCACCGGCCGTCAGCAGCAGGTCGATGCCCGTGCAGAAGGTGGCGTCTGCCGCCAGGAACAGCGCCACCTTGCCACTCTCCTCCGTGGTGCCCATGCGTCCCAGCAGCTGGGACGAGAAGGGTCCAGGTGGGCACACAGAGATCGCAGATTCCCCCTCTGATGCTGGTTTGCTTGTCTGAAGGGCGCCAATGAGTAATCGAAACAGACTGTTGAGGCAAGTGCTGTTCGCGAGTAGCACCCGTGAAGGCCGGAACGACACACGAGGGGGTGGGTGGCCAGCACCACGCCTGGCCGCCTTTGTCTCCTCAGTGGCGATGTGTTTACAAGAGGTACTCGTTTGAGACTGAGTGGCCCTATGGATTAGTCCATTTGGCAAGTCACGTGTGGAGGTCGTGTGCAATGTAGATACTCCAACTTCGTTCAAGACATCTGGCCAGCGTGGAAGAGAAGGCCAAAATACCCTCTCTCGAGAGAGAGAGAGAGAAAGAGAGAAAGGGGCTCAAGAGAGCACCTCCTAGAAGAATCTCTTCCAACAGCAGTGGCATGAGCAAGTGAAATTCGGGCCTCCCTCTTTACGGACGAATTCAAGTTGGCGTCGAGTCGCGTGCGATCTCTCACCTGCGCATTCTCTCCACCTTTAACGGTCGCCTCTGGGTTGTCAGTTCCATTGGCGAACTCCTGCCACATCGGGGTCCAGATATTCCCCGGCGAAATGCTGCAACGGCAACGACGTTGAGAAGGGGGGGGGGGGGGGTGGGTGGTCAACGCGCGCAGTCTGCGTCTCCGAGCGCCGAAGTTTCTCATCAGCTTCCACGTGCGAAGCTTGCAGACGACAGGCTGCAACTTGCACCGCCACACGGCTGTCAACGAGCTCCACTGGGTCTGCCCGTCTGACACAGACCGCAGCCCGAGGCCAGGTATGCGGCGGAGCGCGTCTCCACGCACCTCCGATTATCACGGTTGGCTACATACGGTGGGACAGAAGTTCAACATACATACAAGCAGCGGCACGTTGTTAGCCGAAAGATTAACATTTGCATGGCCAGGCACCCATCAACAGTTCCTGAAGAACTGCATGCATTTCGGTCCTCTCGCCTGAGAGTCACCGTCAAATAAACTGAGAGGCTTCAGTGTTTTTATGCATAATGTACTCAGGATGAATGCCTTTGGTGCAAGTGTCTGTGTGTCTGTTTGAAACTTAAGGTTTAACTCGGCCTACACAGATTTTTCTGGTATAAACTTTAAAACTAAAAACTATTTTTTATTTTACGAGGTAAGGCCCGCTGAGCTATGTAGCTCTTTTTCAGAAGCGACCTGGCTATCACAAATGATATCCCCACGAAGTGGCTTATCATGTGGACATTTTCATAGCAGCCAAACACTCTAAACGCATGTTGATTTTAAATGTGGAGGGAAAAACCCGGAGGAGCCGGAGAAAAATCCACGCGACCATGGGGAGAGAGAGAGAGAACATGCAAACTCTAAATATACAGCACGAGTCAGGGTCAGCATCGAACCCACGACCTCCTGTATACCAGACGAGAGAGCTAACATCTCACCACCGCGGCGCCCCCATATGTGTGGTGGATTCCGTGCTGAGGGACTGAGCTGAGGTGTTGTGCGAGGTGGAGGGCGGTAGGAGGGGTTGTGGCTGGTTATTATTGCAGGCACGCAAACGCCCCTCGGAATAACACTGTAATAAAGCGCCGTTGCCCTTCCACGAAACCTCCGGCGCTCATCCGTTGCGGAGTCGCTCCAATTTCCCCGGAGGACGGAACAACAACAACAACAACAACGCGGAGTATCTACTCACTCGTCGTCGTCTCCGAACTTGATTATTTTTGTCGTCGTCCATTTAGCCGACCCGTTCCCCCTCGTTACGGTTCACGGGAGGAGGAGAGCGACAGGGTCGGCGGGCCGGCTGGCCACACCTGCGCGGAGCGGCGGCGTGAGTGACGTGCACGGGGAGGTGTGGCCGTACCTGTTGACGCGCACGTTGTAGCGACTCTCGTCCACCGCCATCGCCTTGGTCATGGCCGTGATCGCGCCCTAACGAAGGCAAAGACAAAGATCCCCCGTGTAGCATTAACAGACTGTTTGGGGCATGTGCTGTCAGCGAGCAGCACCTATGAAGGCCGGCACAGCCCACGAGGGGGTTGGGTGGCCAGCACCACGCCCGGCCGCCTTTGTCTCCCCAGCGGCGATGTTTACACACCACTGCACCAGATGCTCATTTGAGGGTGAGTCCACCCGGGGGAGTCCCGGGACCCATTCAGATAATCGTCACTGGTATCGGTGGCCGTGAGCGAGAATCAAACTCAGGTTTCCGGGGTCGTAGCGCAGCGCCGCGCTAACCGCTGCACTACTGCCCTGCACACGCACACACACGTCACGTCATGTTTCCGATAAGGCAGAGGGCGTAGGGGAACGCTCGCAATGTTTACCATGCCACGTAAGAATCTGTGAAATATATACACAAATAAAATGAAAAGCACGCTGGGTCGAGTCAAGTTTAATTTTAGTCAATCATAATTGTGTAGAGATGTATTGTCTGGCAACCCCCCTCTCCCACCCCAATTAACCCCCTCATTACCCCCCTCCCCCCACCCCTTCCCCAAGCCCCCGTATCTCCCCATGGGCAATTTTATTAATATTCATATACGCATTGAATTGTACTGTACTGTGTACAGATGATTCAATGCATGTATTGCGGGATTAAAAAAATCGTAATAATTCGATGAATCGATTTATCATTCCGTCCCTAATGCTTTTCATTTGACCACATATACCGACACCGAAGCCATTCACCTTCGCGAATTTCTTCGCCTACATTAATTTATTTAGCCCCAACGTTCCATGAGAGATCTCCGTGGGGTCTGCGGATCTCAAGCTCCTTTTTTCTCCAGGGACTCGGGCTGGGCTTCCTCCATGGAGGAACCGGGTTCTGGCCCTGCGTAGCCCCTAGACTCTGGAACGCTCTGCCCCTGAGACTTCAGGAATTCGCCTTCAATTGGGGAATCTTCCAAGTCTCGACTTAAAGCTTCCTGTTCAGGAAGGCTTTTTGCCTGAATTTATCATGAGGAGTCTTGCCTTTCATTTTCATCATCTTGTTCGTAATGTATGGTTTTGCTTTATGCTCATTGTGTTACTTCACGATCGTCGCTTGCTCCCTGGACGAAGGGCGCTAATACAAGCCCGCATTATTATCGAGATTTGTTCGGGGAAAGCGGGGAGTTTGCGGATGTTTTCAGAAGACGCGGTCCACTCTGAGAATTAATTACTGGGCTCACACATACTTCTGTTCCACCGCGTCTGTGAAGCTAAAGCGCTTATAAATGCGCCCGGTAAGTAAGCCTCTGGTACACCAGGTTCTGCAGTGGCAATTTTTCAGTCTTGTAGTAACGAGGTGCTTTAAAATCTGTGTGCTTTTCTAATTAAAAATTAAGCAGCTTGCATTACTTACATTTTTTTTTTTACATTTTTAAATCGACACATTCAGCACCAACACTTCCACCTTTAACGAGAAATTACATCATGGGAATGGAGAAGGTGGCAGAGGACCGCAGAGGACGTGGATGGAAGACATCAATAACACCGCTGGCCTTACACACTAACCCAGCTACGAGAGGCAGCGAGAGACAAGTTTGGATGGCGGATTCCGATCGTGACCTTGACCTCTGGTGAGAGGTCAAGGTCGAGCTCGACCTGACGGCACAAGATGACAAGGTGACAATAGGCTGGCATATGGAGCAACAGCCCTTTTTTAATGATCGGCTGGCTCATGCGAATAACACTCATTGCAGATTAAAAATATTAACTCTCTACATTTGTACAGTAAAACCTTGGATTGCGAGCATAATTCGTTCCGGAAACGTGTTTGTAATCCAAAGCACTCGTATATCAAAGCACTCGTATATCAGTTGTGATCACGTGACGCTCGGCAGACAAAGCGTATACATACTACTCGTATTGCAAGACCCTCGCTCGTTTATCAAATTAATATTTATTTTAAAAAAATTCTCGTCTTGCAAAACACTCGCAGACCAAGTTACTCGCAATCCAAGGTTTTACTGTATAGAGTATTTCTCCATCGTGTTTTCTACTGGATATTTTCACTCGCCAGACAAGAGACATCATCATCATCTGCATCACGTTCCATGGACAGGATAGCCCGCATGTGAACACTGCGTATTTCGTCATTTGTTTCCACTTAACTCTGTCTTGTGCCAATATGCTCGTGAAGTGCCACATCTTTCTGGCACCAATCTCTTTTATGTCGTCATCAAGCCATTCTCTGTTACACGTTCCTGCTGTTGTCCATTCTACATATAGTGCCAGTTTCCTTCTCATCACTAGCTCCATCATCGGGTGTGCTTCTGTGCGCAACCTTTTTCCCTACTTCTATGTTGGTCGCTCTGTGTGTCCAAGAGACACACGAGAGACAAAATCCACGGATGTCAATGTGCCAATTAACCATATATAGGTATCGATTTAAAGCTTTCATGACTGCAAGGATTCATCTTCTTTGGTTCTTTCGGTAAAGTCACCACGTAGAATGAGAATAAAATAATAAATTGATAAAATACAATAACACAATAATATTCTCACTAGAGTGTCTTGTCTAACTGATCGAGCTCGGTGCGTGTAAGTCTGATTTTTTTCCGAGATAAGAGCGAAGCTAGTTCTAGCTAGAATTCGTTTTGCATTGAGAGAAGTTGCAACAGCAGAGGTTAGTGTAAATGCGGTTGGTATTACCTTAGAGTCACGGCATCTCTTCAGAAAGGTGAGAGACTTTCTTATCCCGGAGTCTGTTGAATGATCTTAAGGTGGTGTGGAATCCCTCTCCGTAGAGGCGGTTAAATTTCGATTTAAAGCTTTCGTGACTGCAAGGATATTATTGTGTTATTGTGTTATTGTATTTTATCAATTTCTTATTTTATTCTCATTCTACGTGACTTTACCGAAAGAACCAAACAAGACATATACAGGTACTTTGCTAAAACTGAACACGTTATTATTTGTAAAAATGGCCTTAATTAAATTCCTGCTTGTACCAAGAGGCTTGGCATTGTTTTACTCTGAAACACGTGCCGCTTTGGTAATGCTCTTTGCACACATTCCCGATAGCTTGTTGTTGCGTTTAGCTGGCACACTCGCTAATTAAGCCCGGTTTGCTCATTAACTCAACACACTTATTGTATTCGCATGCTTGTTCATTGTTCATTCGGGACATTTATCAGCTTGGCAGAGGCCTATTAATTTGCCAATTTTGGCACTGACGCGCAATCATGACCCAGTCTAAAGCGAGGCACACATTGCAGAAGGACATGGGGCACGGGAAAGTTTACGAATGAACGACGCAATTTGAGAGACACGAGCGGTGGGACTTTATTCAGCCCCACCTCCGGATGAGCGCAGGTGACAAGGGATAGGAAGAAGCATGCCAAGACATGCCAGTTAAGACTCGTCTGGAATTTCCACATTGCCACGGCATGCCAATTTACCAATGCCAACACTGTCATTCAAGGGTACCGGAGAATCTCCATGAGTGACTGAATTGCAATTACGGCAACCACCGGCGCAGTGAAAAGCTGGGCAGCGTTGTCTGACAATTCGACTTTTAATCATAGGCTCGTGCCATCCAAAGCAGTCATCGGCAGCACTTTTAAGTTGCAACAGCAAGTGACACTGCGCGTTCAGGTGGGGATGCAACAGCCTCACCTCCGATTAGCACGGTTGGCTACGTAGGGTGCGAAAGAAGTTCAAGATACATACAAGGGAGGTCTGGTGTAAGGTGTTTCTCAGGGACATTATCACGTCAGATCTCGAGGGAAGCTCAGCAGGATTTGATCACATCAGATGAACGTCGTACTCGAACTGTAAATATCAACTGAGTTTTACTCTCCAACACACACCGGTGTGCTGAAGTAGTAACCAATTTGGCACGTTTTGTTTAACCTGAAAAACCTTACTGATTGGTTGCCTCGGGTGGTGGCTGGTTAACGACACATTTATATTCGTTTTGGCTGTTCGTGGCCGGGAAATTCCTCAGCGCTCATGCTACCGTTTGTGGCCAGGTCGCTTCTGAAAAAGAAGCAAATGGCTCAGTGGGCCTTACCTAGTAAGGTAAAAACATAGTTTTAGTTTTACTTGTATATATTTTTTTAAAGCGACTTGTTTACCTTGCCTGCAATTTGCACTCCTATTGTGTTGTTGTATTACTTGCTGTGGTCACGTTCTGACCTGCCCCCTACCGGACATCTGTGCGAAAGAGCTTTACAGCTCACCGGATTCCTCTTCCTGCAGTATAAATAAACATTCAGATTCCGGAACCTCAACAGCCCCCACCTTGGTTGCGACGTACGGCACGGCGTCGTTCTGCCCAATGACGGCCACCAGGCTCGCCACGTTGACGATGTTCCCTTCCGTCTTGCGCAGGTGCGGCAGCGCGTACTGCGGACGGGCGCGACACCGGCGAGCAAAAACAACGCGTGAACAACGCGTGAACAACGCGTCAACGCGCAAACGTGCCGTTGACGCGTCAGCAATGCCGGTGGCGGCGCCAGACACGCACGCGTGGGTGCGTGCGTTCACGTAACCTTAACGTGCACGTAGCCTGGCACAAGCGCCGTGGTGACGTCACCGCCACTTAGTGGCGAATGGAATGACGATAGTTTTGCGTTGGGAGGTTTTGGCTGTTGGCCAAACCTCCCAACACAGGGACCCACCGGAAGGAGAGAGTCTTCGAACTCCGTGTGACTTTTCTGGGTAAATAAATAATAATTGCTAATATTAATAAATTACTATTATAACCTTGGTTGCGAGGTACGGCAACCGCATTGTTCTGTCCAATTAAATAATCATTATTAGTTCATTTTTATTATAATTAACCATGATTATCTCATTCACCTCACGAAGCTGTTTCTCTTTAATTCTAACAATAATTAGTACAATTAGAATTATAATAATGAAAAAAATATCTAATTCGTCTTATTATTTGCACACAAGTACAAATACTGCACAACACCAAGGGAACATATATCCCTCTCTCAAATCAGGATTCCACAACCATATTCTCCGGCGGGCCCCTTTCGATAGGATTACCGTGTGCTGGCAAAATCACGTCACACCATTACATCATGCGTCAGGTGTACGAACACTGTGAGGTCACAAGGCACGGTACGTGTGACTGCTAAGCTGTGCCTCTTGTCTCCAGGTCTCTCATCTCTCCCTCCTTTGTCAAGTTCATCTCAAGGAGCTATTTCCCTTTAAGTCTCAGTGGGCTGCATCACTCAGCAGGCCACTCTGTTGACGAAGCCTGCCATGAATGATGCGCGCTGGCAGTGTGGTGACACACCTCTAATCGATTCTTATGACCACAATACACGCGTAGAATCATGCACGGGAGCACAAATTATTTTTGCCCCTGTGTGCATCTTAAAAACCTTGTGGCCGTGGTGGTACTCCACAGGAAGTGGAGTAGTAGAGTCAAGGATAGAATGTGGCCAAAAAGATCAAAGTAACAGGGAAGGGGAAGATAAAAGAGAGAACGGGTAAAGTCTTTTCTTTTCATTTCATCGATTCGATGCTGGCAAAAACAAGGTCCCATATAGATAGAAGAGAAAGAATGTGAAAGAGGAGGAAAAGGATAGAAAAGGAATGGGAAAAGAGTCAGGAGAGATGAGGATAGGGCTGTTGCACGGAGGAGCGATGTCGGTTTTCATACGGGGAGGCGGTGAGGGATTCAGAGTGGGGGTGGCCACACAGAAGTCACGTGATTTACGGGAGGAGGCTTGAGCTGATTTAGATTATAGAAATGATCGGCGTTTTGTTCACTAAAAACTCAGCCGCCACTAGAGGTGCCACTTTTCACCAGAAAGGAAGAATTGATTCTGGAAACGAATCGTGATCCCCCCACACCCCCCCCCCCCCCCAGATTGTGACAATTAATCGAATCACGATGTCCAGTGTGCAATTTATATTTCGTTAACTTAGAGCGGAAATTCGTTGGAAATTATTTTTGAACTATTTAAAAAAAATGCATTACCTGGATCTTCCACGTGATTTCACTTAAAATTAATACACTTTCACACATCTATATTCATAATTACACCGCAGATATTTTAGAAAGGAAGGTCATTATGTTCATCAGGTTATTGCGCTCATAAGTGATTACATATCCTTGTTTTGACACGGCTGTGTAATTGTTTTACCCAGTAGGCATTTATTGATTAAATTTGGTTTCTCCGTTAGCCACGCTCTGATGAGATTCAGCGCTGTACATGTCGCCCCGGCAAAATAAGCCTTCATTACAACGATTCACGAAAGTTGCATCCCCCCACTCTGTACGCGCCGTTGTATCTGAAGCCATCGTGGCTCCGTGAGGTTTGCACCGTCACCTTGGAAGCCAGGAAGTAGCTGACGAGGTTCAAGTTCAGAAGCGAAGTAAAATCCTCCGCTGTGACGTCGTCCGTCTTCTGAGGAGGTGGGTCTGAAACGCGGATGTCGTTATTTGTAAACCTTGAAAAACTTTTATTTACATCACGCAGCTTTATGTCGCACACGCGCACATACTGCTAAAGTTACGTTTTTTAGCCCACTTTAAAGGTATCCACACCTATGAAGAACGGATTTTTTTTCTCGAGTCAATAGCTTTCGCCAACTTTGAAACTATGCGTGGAAAACACTGCTTCTGTGTTGAACTCGCTGCAAGTGACATAAATGGTCATGGAACTTTTGGCGCTGCATTCACTTGCAATTAAATTATTAGTAGCATCGGGTGAGCAATGAGTGTGGAAAACATATACATATATAAAAAAAATATTGGGCGCCGCAGTAGAGAGATGTTAACTACCTCGCCTAGTATACAGGAGTTCGTGGGTTCGATCCAGACCCTGATGCCTGCTGTATATTTGGAGTTTACATGTGCTCCCCGTGGAGTGGATTTTTCTCCGGGTTCTCCAGTTTTTCCCTCCACATTTATAAACATGCGTTTAGAGTATTCAGCTGCTATAAATTTCCACGTGATAAGCCACTTCGTTGAGTTATCATTTGTGGTCAGGTCGCTTATAGAAGAGCTATATACGGTAACTCAGCGGACTGTACCTGGTAAAGTAAAAATCGTTCAATGATAATTTGTGCTCTGTATCATGTAGTTTTCCGTCGCAATAGGACGCAAATCTAACAGACAGGGTCCTCGCACTTAAACATTGAGCAGTTCACCAGCGTTGGTTCAAGCGCGCCTGATAAGATCATGAATGTTGAAACCGGTCCAGAGTTTGCTTGTATTGAACCAATGCTGCTGAGATAAGATGCACTCCCAGAAGGAAGTGTGGCCGACGGGATGTATACAAATATTTTACGTTCGGAGACAAAGTTGTCAAGGAGGAATTACATCTGCTTATTTATTTAGGTTATATTCATGTACAGCAGTCCCTCGGTTAACAGTAACATCGGTTAACGGTTTTTCGGTTAACATTTCGCCTCCCACAGGACCCCCATGGTTTCTCCGAACAATAACATTTTGACTAACGGTACGTTTACGTTCTTTGCACGCGGGTGCCAATTTCGGCCAATCTGAGCGCTTGTTAATGGGGCTGAGCCACGCCCCTAGCCAATCAGCGAAGCCCATTGTGAGCGTGTAGACCTCGACTGGCTTTGTTTACATTACGTTTTCTGTTTTGGCAGTGGAAGCAGTCTCTCCTGTGCAGGCTCAGTGATTTTTACTTATTTTTCAGCTTACGAGTTAATTCGATGAACAGTTATTTGGGTTAACAGTAGTTTTCGTGGAACGGATTAAAAACGTTAACCGAGGAACTACGGTATCAGAATCTATGATTTTGGGTCCACATTGTTGGGGAAATAATTGACTGCTGCATCCACTAGGGGCCGCTACATTCACCACAACGTTCAACAAGGGGAATGCCTCAGTTACTCGTCCTGCCATCTCACTGCGTGTGCGTAGTACATCGTATCTCGCCAAATGTTATCGTTGTTTATGGGGGAAATAGTTTTCACTTAACGCGTTTTTTCACTTCACGCGGAACTTTATATGGAACGCATCTACCGTGTTTAAAGAGTGACTGCATATCCCGACAGTGCACCGTGCCGTACTCACGCACGCCAGCGTTGTTCACAAGGCAGTCGATGCGGCCGTATTTCTGAACCGTCACATCGATCAGGTTCTAAAGAGTCAGGCACACACGCATGCATGCGTACGTATGCATCACCACCGTCACCATGACTGAATTAGCGTGGATGGCTGCGTATGGTGTGAAAGAAGTTCAACATACAGTGTGGGCACCCACAAACTCTTAAATGATAACTCATCGGTGCTTTTGCCATTAGCTTCCTAAGACAGTGGTGAAGCCAGTGGTGGAATGGAAGTTCCACGTTATTATGACAGAGCCCATTATGTTCATAGGACAATCACTGGTTAACTTACTATCCAGTGGAATTTATTTTATTGAGGTCATAGGCATGATGGACCAAGTTAACCCTTGAGCAGAATTTTGATTCACAAACTTCCGGATGCAGCTGTGGGGGGCGTTATTTTGACCATACTTCACCACGCTGGTCAAAGTGGGGACTGGTGAAGGCAAGTTGCGCAGACAGACATTGGAGAATATGCAAGAATGGAGAATGTTGAGTGTAATTACTATTTCACTGCATGATAATGCATCGATAATAATTTACATGCTAAAAATGATGATAAAACAAAAAGTAACATTTTTTTTTATATAAGTAAAACACTCATACAATAAGCCCGCTCAGTGTGATCATGGTTATCATGCCCTCTGGTGGTGTGCGCCGGTCATGTTACAGCAACAGGCCCCCATGGGAACGGAGGGTTTAATGACGACCCAGCCAACATTTTATAAACTCGAACAAACTGCTCCTTAATCAGGGAGGTGTATGGATTTCACAATTAATCAGGCGTTTATTTCAGCTTCAAACAATGGCTCGCCAGGAGAAGGCGGTCCAGCGAGTGGACGAATCGCCATCTGTTTAGTCCATCTGTGCCTGAGATAGAGCGTTGCCCCCTCGCGCAAAGGCGTGGGTTTTCTCCAGGTGCTCCGATTTCCTCCTTCCCACTTCTATCAAAATAATGAACACAACTCATAATTAATTGACTGAAAACATCTTAAAATAAACCCCCCCCAATGCAGCAGCAGTAGCAGGACCCTCCTAAATACAACACCTTGTGGCTTTCCTTGATAAATAAGTGCATTATAATTATTATCATACCTGATGAGAATCATATAATTATGTCAGCTATAATCAATCCACTGCTGGATGGATTCCCCCCCCCCGCCCACCCCCACCCCCGAAAGCCAAAGCCACCCATCACGATCTCGCGATGGAACAATCCACCAGGCACCTCCGCACGAGCCGATTTCATCTCGCTCCATCTCCTCAGCTGACGTCCTTTCGGGACGCGTTCCCTTCATTGACTCTGCCGCTCCGTTATTTTATTCCTGATCGTCGTCGTCCATCGTCGCATTTGCATTACTCTCGGTAAGTGTTTGTACAGTCTGTTCTCCTGCAACGTGTTTTTCTTTTTGTCGAAACGCGTATTGGATATAACGCGATGACCGTATTAGGGAACATGTCTATTTTTTTATAAAGCGGATGAAAAAATTGGATATAACCCGATCGAGTGAACAGAACTACGCCGCGCTCGGTTTGAATAAGCGGTCGCACGGCTGCCTCGGCGTAGCATCGCACAAGGCTTTGGGATGCTGCTGGATGCTTCTTGATGCTACCCACGCACCTCAAGTCCTTGTTCAGCCCGCGTACGCATCTCACGCGTTATCGCGGCCTGCGCTGTACCCCATGTTGCATACTGTTCATGAAAACGCGATGTTTTTTGTTCTGCAGGAACGCAACTACGACCGCGTTATCGGAGAAGGGACTGTACGTTAAAAAGCAGAGGGACAATGAGGAGCTGTTGACCCAACATGCACCAGAGTACACGGGAAACAGAAACAGGACGGCACAGGTGCACAGCCTGTCACGACAAATCGCGAGGTCACTGCATTAGCAGCAGCAGCAGCAGCGACAGAGACAAATGGCACAGGGTACACCTGTGACAACAGCCCTTAAGAAAACATCCGTGTGAAGGGGTGAACTATACTTATCCATATCTTGTCGTTCAGTCCCTGATGTTGGATAATAAAGAATCAGTGCGATCGATAACAAACAGCCCCGGGGAGAGGGGTGAATCACTGCGTGCCAGGAAATAAATACACTCAAGCCTTTAATCTGGTGAAATCTCTCTCCTGTACAGCCAATTTCCAAACAAATCCCCAAATTGACAAGATAATCCGTGTGTCGCCACGAGTTCCAAACAAGATGCAAACATGCGTAAGAAAAGCACGCAGCCGCGACTTGGGCATTATGCATAAAACCATCATCGTTTCCTGAAGAAGTGCATTGTGGTCCTCTTGGCTTCGGACACCATCAAAACGAATTTGAGCAAAATTTGACCGACCGACAGCAGCAGTGGTGAAATGATAGACGCAACTGTGTGGATTGTTTTCGTCATCATTCGGACTCATCAGCGTAGCACAGTGACCAATGGTCACTGCCGCAGAGTCCGCATCACCAAAACCGGCTGCTCATTTCACCGCAGAGTCCGCTTTTTTGTTAGTTGGAAGGCTCAGATGAAGTGCGACCGTGACGAACAATATAAACAGGCGGCAAAAAACATCGTGCAATACGCAGTAAGCCTACGAGTAAAACCCGCGGCATCTTAAGACGCACCTTTATTTGCTCCTCTTTTGTGACGTCACACGCCACGTAGAAGGCTTCGCCTGGGCCCACACTGTTGAGTTCGGCCTCCAAAGCATTGCCTGCCCCGACTGGAACACATACACAAACGCACGCACACGTACCTGGACTGAAAAACAAAGATCCCTCGTGTTGAGTACATAGACTGTTACCCTTATATAAGTAAGCAGCTATTAAGGCCTGCATGGCAAGGAGGTGGCGTGTTAAGTACCAAGCCCAGCCGTTGTGAGCGTCACTCCTCTGCCCTCCGTTGTTGTTGGAGGGCGACTGCCTTCAAATGCCCAGTAGTGTCCTTCATGAGCCTCCTCTACCACAGAGGTTGATTTTGACACCGCTGTTATCAGCCATTGGCCAAAAACAAGCTGCTTGGGCATGTGAGAGCTGGACAACTGCGCTCGATGAATCCAGTCAACACAGGGATTGTGGTCAGATATTTCAATGATCTGTGATCTTATCACACACGATCCAGTCTGGTTAAACCTACGACGGATTTTCGGGCAGAATATGTCAAGCGTTTAAAGGGGGTCTATGTTTTGCAAGCATCGGGAAGACATGCCATAACTCACACTTTACAATGATCTCCCGTGTAGCCTGAACAGACTGTTGGGGCAAGTGCTGTTAGCTAGCAGCACGTATTAAGGCCCGGCACGGCACACGAAGGGGGTGGGTGGCCAACACCACGCCATACGCACATACACGGCCAGTGTATGGATCACACATGATTCCTCCAAAAAGTGGCATTGAGGGCCAAAATAGCTTCACAAATGAGACTAGAATGTTTTCCGTCTTAAACGATTTTAAACTTGATGTCACCTGCCTAAATTACTGTGTCTATACTATTATTTTAGACGAGCCATTTGCCCGTCCAAGGATGGGTGTATTGAAGTAAATCTGAAAATTGCAAGCAAAAAGCACAGACTGCGACGTGATATTCATTGCATCCATTCGTGTGCAATTTGTAAGGCCGCGGTGACACAGATTTATTTCATTTAAAGGTTATAATCCCTTGTTCATCATGACGTCCTTTTTACTTCTATGTCTCAACAGCGTTACGGAGATCACGTGACGTGAGGGTTCTGCCTTTGTAGTGAGGGTTGTCAGTTGACGCCGAGGAGAGGGGAGGAGGCGCCTCGCCCCCCCCATGTGGAGTGACGTCACCCGTTAATTATTATTAATGGAGGGGGGGTGTACATTTGGAGGACGTCACCTGTTCATGATTATTAATGAGGGGGGGTCCATGTGGAGGACGTAACCTGTTCATGATTATTAATGAGGGGGGCTGGTCGACGTGGAGTGATGTCACGCGCGGGACACACAGACATTCTTGGCTCATTATAGTAGTAAATAGTTTTCATGAATTGAATCAGTGATCTCTGGATTGCAAGGCCAGTGTGCTAACCATTACCCCTATATATCAGTCGTGGTAGGAGTAGTGTGATGGTGATGATATACTGACCGTCCTTTGCACAAAATACAACCTTGGCACCTTGCGAAACTGTAAAAAAAAAATAATTAACAACAAAATGAGACCGTTATTATTCAAATACTTTTAAAATACCCATACTTCTGAAAGAGGTTTTTGTCGATGCGAGAATGTCTACATAACTACTATTATTTTACCAGGTAAGGCCCACTGAGCTATTTGGAGTATATTTAGCTCTTTTTCAGAAGCGACCTGGCCACAAATGATAACTCAACTAAGTGGTTTATCACGTGAAAATGTATAGCAGCCAAATACTCTAAACGCGTGATGTCGATTCTAAATGTGGAGGGAAAACCGGAGGACCCGAGGAAAGATCCATGCGACAACGAGGAGAACACGCAAACTCTAAATACACAGGCGTCAGGGTCGGGATTGAACCCACGACCTCCTGTATACCAGGCGAGATCATTAACATCTCACGACCGTGGCGCCCTACATGTAATGAAGGCCAATCCACAAGCTCTGGAGAAAATTGTGTGACAGTTCAACATTTGCCCAGTTATATTTAAACTAAGAGAGCAAACAAAATGAGTTGAGACCAGAAAACACCTCACCTAGGTGGACTTTGCAACTCAACGTATGTGAAAATAGTGAAAATTCTAAAACAAAATCAGTCACGTGATCAGGACGAGGGTATGTGGACTCCAACGCAGATAGAAAAAGTAATATAGTCGTGGTTGTTTAACCGTTATTGGAAGGTTCGTTATTTTTTAAAACATGTTCAAAGGTCAACGCTTGAAGTTTTACCTTGCCTTTAGGCTAACTTTGAATCCATGTCACAGAAACAAGTTAATGTGCAACGCCAGTAACTGTGAATTACAAATGCACGAGAAACAGAATGGTGAAAATGTTATCTGGTGTGCGTGCAGCGACTGGAGTTTGGTTTTGACAAGAGATAGAAGCAATTTATGGATGTGCGGAAATGTCAAAATACTGTAGTTCAGATGCAGATGATTCTAAAATGATGAAAATGGCAATAATTTACAGCTCTTAATCAATCTACTGCCCCATGCAGAGCCTCTTCTCACGATATCATTTGCGGGGGGCAGTTTGCCTATACTTCACCGCGCTGGTCAGTGATGGGTGGTGAATGGGGCACCCTGGACCAGATGTTAAACTGTGCCGAAAAATGGAATTCAGGCCGCTGGATTCATGGTGCACCGTGCTAACCGCTTGGCAGAAGAACATTGGGGACGCGAAGGTGAGACAGACGCAGAGGTGCGAGGCAGCCGACCTGTGAATGCTGCGCCGTTGCCAAACCTCAAAATACAGCAGCCATCCTCCATTACTGTCTCATGATAATTATTTCAATTGCATTTTCTGATTATTATATTTTTTTCCGCCTGAGGACAACTGCTTGTGTTGCGATCGAAACGTCGTGATTTATTTTATTTTATACCTACGTGACTTTACCGAAAGAAGCAAAGAGTATGGATTTTACGTTGTTGTTGTTCATTTCCCCTGTGGCTGGCCTCCCAGATCCTCATCGGGCCGTTCCACGCAATCGCAGAGTATTTTGCAACCGCCATCTCTTGGCAGCGTTGGGGAGGACGTGCCAAGTGAAAAACTCTACAGGGTCTCTCCTCTGCTAACGAACGAGTTAGGTTCCAGAGGTGTGTTCGTAAGTCGATTTGTTCGTAAGTCCAACTTTACTCCCGTCGTTTCCAAACATGTTGTACGGCGCTTTAAAGATGTATAATCTCCTGCAGATGTAGATGCCACTGGTTCTTCATGTTCTGCAGATGTAGATGCCCCTGGTTCTTCACGTTCTTTAGATGTAGTTGCCACTGGTTCTTCACCTTCTGCAGATGTAGATGCTACTGGTTCTTCACGTTCTGTAGATGTAGATGCCACTGGTTCTTCATGTTCTGCAGATGTAGATGCCCCTGGTTCTTCACGTTCTTTAGATATAGATGCCACTGGTTCTTCACGTTCTGCAGATGTAGATGCTACTGGTTCTTCACGTTCTGTAGATGTAGATGCCACTGGTTCTTCACGTTCTGCAGATGTAGATGCCAATGGTTCTTCATGTTCTGGAGATGTAGATGCCAATGGTTCTTCACATTCTGCAGATGTAGATGCCAATGGTTCTTCACATTCTATAGATGTAGATGCCACTGGTTCTTCACGTTCTGGAGATGTAGATGCCACTAGTTCTTCATGTTCTGCAGATGTAGATGCCACTGGTTCTTCACGTTCTGCAGATGTAGATGCCACTGGTTCTTCACGTTCTGCAGATGTAGATGCCACTGGTTCTTCACGTTCTGCAGATGTAGATGCTACTGGTTCTTCACGTTCTGTAGATGTAGATGCCACTGGTTCTTCACGTTCTGGAGATGTAGATGCCAATGGTTCTTCACATTCGGCAGATGTTGATGCCACTTGTTCTTCACGTTCTGCAGATGTAGATGCCACTGGTTCTTCACGTTCTGGAGATGTAGATGCCAATGGTTCTTCACATTCGGCAGATGTTGATGCCACTGGTTCTTCACGTTCTGCAGATGTAGATGCCACTGGTTCTTCACGTTCTGGAGATGTAGATGCCAATGGTTCTTCACATTCTGCAGATGTTGATGCCACTGGTTCTTCACGTTCTGGAGATGTAGATGCCACTAGTTCTTCATGTTCTGCAGATGTAGATGCCACTGGTTCTTCACGTTCTGCAGATGTAGATGCCACTGGTTCTTCACGTTCTGCAGATGTAGATGCCACTGGTTCTTCACGTTCTGCAGATGTAGATGCCAATGGTTCTTCATGTTCTGGAGATGTAGATGCCACTGGTTCTTCACGTTCTGCAGATGTAGATGCCACTGGTTCTTCACGTTCTGCAGATTTAGATGCCACTGGTTCTTCACGTTCTGCAGATGTAGATGCTACTGGTTCTTTACGTTCTGTAGATGTAGATGCCACTGGTTCTTCACGTTCTGGAGATGTAGATGCCACTAGTTCTTCACGTTCTGCAGATGTAGATGCCACTGGTTCTTCACGTTCTGCAGATGTAGATGCCACTGGTTCTTCACGTTCTGCAGATGTAGATGCCACTGGTTCTTCACGTTCTGCAGATGTAGATGCCAATGGTTCTTCATGTTCTGGAGATGTAGATGCCAATGGTTCTTCACATTCTGCAGATGTAGATGCCACTGGTTCTTCACATTCTGCAGATTTAGATGCCACTGGTTCTTCACGTTCTGGAGATGTAGATGCCAATGGTTCTTCACATTCAGCAGATGTTGATGCCACTGGTTCTTCACGTTCTGCAAATGTAGATGCCACTGGTTCTTCACGTTCTGGAGATGTAGATGCCAATGGTTCTTCACATTCTGCAGATGTTGATGCCACTGGTTCTTCACGTTCTGCCGATGTAGATATCACTGGTTCTTCACATTCTGCAGATGTAGATGCCACTGGTTCTTCACGTTCTGCAGATGTAGATGCCACTGGTTCTTCAGGTTCTGCAGATGTAAATGCCACTGGTTCTTCACGTTCTGCAGATGTAGATGCCAATGGTTCGTCATGTTCTGGAGATTTAGATGCCACTGGTTCTTCACGTTCTGTAGATGTAGATGCCACTGGTTCTTCACGTTCTGCAGATGTAGATGCCACTGGTTATTCACGTTCTGCAGATGTAGATGCCACTGGTTCTTCACATTCAGCAGATGTAGATTACCACTGGTTCTTCACGTTCTGCAGATGTAGATGCCACTGGTTCTTCACGTTCTGCAGATGTAGATGCCACTGGTTCTTCACGTTCTGCAGATGTAGATGCCACTGGTTCTTCACGTTCTGCAGATGTAGATGCCACTGGTTTTTCACGTTCTGGAGATGTAGATGCCAATGGTTCTTCACGTTCTGCAGATGTAGATGCCACTGGTTCTTCACATTCTGCAGATTTAGATGCCACTGGTTCTTCACGTTCTGGAGATGTAGATGCCAATGGTTCTTCACATTCAGCAGATGTTGATGCCACTGGTTCTTCACGTTCTGCAAATGTAGATGCCACTGGTTCTTCACGTTCTGGAGATGTAGATGCCAATGGTTCTTCACATTCTGCAGATGTTGATGCCACTGGTTCTTCACGTTCTGCCGATGTAGATATCACTGGTTCTTCACATTCTGCAGATGTAGATGCCACTGGTTCTTCACGTTCTGCAGATGTAGATGCCACTGGTTCTTCAGGTTCTGCAGATGTAAATGCCACTGGTTCTTCACGTTCTGCAGATGTAGATGCCAATGGTTCGTCATGTTCTGGAGATGTAGATGCCACTAGTTCTTCACGTTCTGCAGATGTAGATGCCACTGGTTCTTCACGTTCTGCAGATGTAGATGCCACTGGTTCTTCACGTTCTGCAGATGTAGATGCCACTGGTTCTTCACGTTCTGCAGATGTAGATGCTACTGGTTCTTCATGTTCTGCATATGTAGATGCCAATGGTTCTTCACATTCTGCAGATGTAGATGCCACTGGTTCTTCACATTCTGCAGATTTAGATGCCACTGGTTCTTCACGTTCTGGAGATGTAGATGCCAATGGTTCTTCACATTCTGCAGATGTTGATGCCACTGGTTCTTCACGTTCTGCAAATGTAGATGCCACTGGTTCTTCACGTTCTGGAGATGTAGATGCCAATGGTTCTTCACATTCTGCAGATGTTGATGCCACTGGTTCTTCACGTTCTGCCGATGTAGATATCACTGGTTCTTCACATTCTGCAGATGTAGATGCCACTGGTTCTTCACGTTCTGCAGATGTAGATGCCACTGGTTCTTCAGGTTCTGCAGATGTAAATGCCACTGGTTCTTCACGTTCTGCAGATGTAGATGCCAATGGTTCGTCATGTTCTGGAGATTTAGATTCCACTGGTTCTTCACGTTCTGTAGATGTAGATGCCACTGGTTCTTCACGTTCTGCAGATGTAGATGCCACTGGTTATTCACGTTCTGCAGATGTAGATGCCACTGGTTCTTCACTTTCAGCAGATGTAGATGCCACTGGTTCTTCACGTTCTGCAGATGTAGATGCCACTGGTTCTTCACGTTCTGCAGATGTAGATGCCACTGGTTCTTCACGTTCTGCAGATGTAGATGCCACTGGTTCTTCACATTCTGCAGATGTAGATGCCACTGGTTTTTAATGTTCTGGAGATGTAGATGCCACTGGATCTTCACGTTCTGCAGATGTAGATGCCACTGGTTCTTCACATTCTGCAGATTTAGATGCCACTGGTTCTTCACATTATGCAGATGTAGATGCCACTGGTTCTTCACGTTCTGCAGATGTAGATGCCACTGGTTCTTCACATTCTGCAGATGTAGATGCCACTGGTTCTTCACGTTCTGCAGATGTAGATGCCACTGGTTTTTCACGTTCTGGAGATGTAGATGCCAATGGTTCTTCACGTTCTGCAGATGTAGATGCCACTGGTTCTTCACATTCTGCAGATTTAGATGCCACTGGTTCTTCACGTTCTGGAGATGTAGATGCCAATGGTTCTTCACATTCAGCAGATGTTGATGCCACTGGTTCTTCACGTTCTGCAAATGTAGATGCCACTGGTTCTTCACGTTCTGGAGATGTAGATGCCAATGGTTCTTCACATTCTGCAGATGTTGATGCCACTGGTTTTTCACGTTCTGCCGATGTAGATATCACTGGTTCTTCACATTCTGCAGATGTAGATGCCACTGGTTCTTCACGTTCTGCAGATGTAGATGCCACTGGTTCTTCAGGTTCTGCAGATGTAAATGCCACTGGTTCTTCACGTTCTGCAGATGTAGATGCCAATGGTTCGTCATGTTCTGGAGATTTAGATGCCACTGGTTCTTCACGTTCTGCAGATGTAGATGCCACTGGTTCTTCACGTTCTGCAGATGTAGATGCCACTGGTTATTCACGTTCTGCAGATGTAGATGCCACTGGTTCTTCACGTTCTGCAGATGTAGATGCCACTGGTTCTTCACGTTCTGCAGATGTAGATGCCACTGGTTCTTCACGTTCTGCAGATGTAGATGCCACTGGTTCTTCACGTTCTGCAGATGTAGATGCCACTGGTTCTTCACGTTCTGCAGATGTAGATGCCACTGGTTTTTCACGTTCTGGAGATGTAGATGCCAATGGTTCTTCACGTTCTGCAGATGTAGATGCCACTGGTTCTTCACGTTCTGCAGATGTAGATGCCACTGGTTCTTCACGCTCTGCAGATGTAGATGCCACTGGTTCTTCACGTTCTGCAGATGTAGATGCCACTGGTTCTTCACGTTCTGCAGATGTAGATGCCACTGGTTCTTCACGTTCTGCAGATGTAGATGCCACTGGTTCTTCACGTTCTGCAGATGTAGATGCCACTGGTTCCTCACGTTCTGTAGATGTAGATGCCACTGGTTCTTCACGCTCTGGAGATGTAGATGCCAATGGTTCTTCACATTCTGCAGATGCCACTGGTTCTTCACGTTCTGCAGATGTAGATGCCACTGGTTCTTCACGTTCTGCAGCTGTAGATGCCACTGGTTCTTCACGTTCTGCAGATGTAGATGCCACCACCGCCGTCTATTGCGCGGCGGTTGAACTTACAACTCTCGGTCCGAACAGGCAACTGGACATACGGGACAAGGTTTGTTCGCATCTCTGAAAGTTTGTAGGTCGAATGTTCATACGTAGAGGAGTCCCTGTCCTTCGTAAAAAAATACATATGATTTATTTTTAACGCAAACTCGCTTTGACATGCCGTGGCATTTAGGTCAAAAAAGATCAAATCCATCCTTTGAAAAACCAAGAACCAAAGGGCTGTAGTGTTCTACCCTCCATGGGCACGGAGGGAACCGGACTTACCAAACACGCGGACCGTGCCCTGACCGATGCCAGCGGTGCCTCCCGTGATGATCGCCACCTTGCCTCGGTACCGCAGCGCGCTCCGATCACCGGGCTCCATGGCAACGGGGCGGCGAAATGTCTGAGGGGCACACGCATTTTAGTTTCAGGGGGGCTACTAAAATCGTTGCGTTGACCGCACGCCCTTCACTCGCGTTGCTTCGAAACCCGCGCCTCTCGCTTTAGCCCACGCCTCGCCGCCGTTGTGTGTACGTGGGACTTCTTTCAACCGTGCTCATCGGAGGTGCGAACATCCCGCGCGCGGACAAACGAGCCTTAAACGGACTGTTGGGGCCAGTTTATGTTATTATTTCAGCAGCAAGGGCCCCCAAATGAGCTGTTCGGCTCTATTTTCATGGGCATCCGGCGACGGAACAGACGTTATACAGTACAGGTGTTCGTTACAATCAAAGTGATGTTAGCGCGCATATATTTAAAGATGACACGACGCACGGAGTGGGTCGGTGGCAAACACCATTCCCGGCCGCCTTTGTCTCCCCAATGCACCAGGTGCCGTACTCATTTGAGGCTGAGCAGACCGAGGGAGGTCCAGGACCGGTTCAGGTGATTATCGCTGTCACTGGTGTCCGTGGCCGTGAGCGGGAATCGAACTCGGGTAGTCGGGTTCATAGTGCAGTGCGCTAACCGCTCCTAGACCCCCCCACTCCCCTCACACTTCCCTCACACTCCCTCCCCTCTCACACTCCCTTCTCACACTCCCCCCTCACACTTCCTCACACCCCCCCCTCACACTCCCCCCCCTCACACTCCCCCCTCCCCCCCTCACACTCCCCCCTCCCCCCCTCACACCCCCCCTCACACTCCCTCCCCCCCCCCCTCACTCTCCCCCTCACACTCCCCCCTCACCCCCCCTCACTCCCCCCCTTCACTCCCTCCTCACACTCCCCCCTGACACTCCCCCCTCACACTCCCTGACACTCCCCCCTCACACTCCCTGACACTCCCCCCTCACACTCCCACCCCACACTCCCTCACACTCCCCCCTCACACTCCCTGACACTCCCCCCTCACACTCCCCCCTGACACTCCCTCACACTCCCTCCTCACACTCCCCCCCACACTCCCTCACACTCCCCCCTCACACTCCCTGACACTCCCCCCTCACACTCCCCCCTGACACTCCCTCACACTCCCTCCTCACACTCCCCCTGACACTCCCCCCTCACACTCCCCCCTGACACTCCCCCCTCACACTCTCTCTCACACTCCCTGACACTCCCTCATACTCCCCCCTCACACTCCCTCACACTCCCTGACACTCCCTCACACTCCCCCCCTCACACTCTCTCATACTCCCCCCTCACACTCCCTGACACTCCCTCACACTCCCCCCTCACACTCCCTGACACTCCCTCACACTCCCTGACACTCTCTCACACTCCCCCCTCACACTCCCTCACACTCCCTGACACTCCCCCCTGACACTCCCTCACACTCCCCCCTCACACTCCCTGACACTCCCCCCTCACACTCCCTCCTCACACTCCCTGACACTCCCCCCTCACACTCCCCCCTCACACTCCCCCCTCACACTCCCCCCTCACACTCCCCCCTCACACTCCCTGACACTCCCCCCTCACACTCCCTGACACTCCCTCACACTTCCACCTCACACTCCCTGACACTCCCTCACACTCCCCCCTCACACTCCCTGACACTCTCCCCTCACACTCCCTGACACTCCCTCACACTCCCCCCTCACACTCCCTCACACTCCCTGACACTCCCCCCTGACACTCCCTCACACTCCCCCCTCACACTCCCCCCTCACACTCCCTCACACTCCCTGACACTTCCTGACACTCCCCCCTGACACTCCATCACACCCCCCCCCCCTCACACTCCCTGACACTCCCTCACACTCCCCCTCACACTCCCTGACACTCCCCCCTCACACTCCCTGACACTCTCCCCTCACACTCCCCCCTGACACTCCCTCACACTCCCCCCTCACACTCCCTGACACTCCCCCCTCACACTCCCTGACACTCCCTCACACTCCCCCCTCACACTCCCTGACACTCTCCCCTCACACTCCCCCCTGACACTCCCTCACACTCCCCCCTCACACTCCCTGACACTCCCTCACACTCCCCCCTCACACTCCCTCCTCACACTCCCTCACACTCCCTGACACTCCCTGACACTCCCCCCTGACACTCCCTCACACTCCCCCCTCACACTCCCTGACACTCTCCCCTCACACTCCCCCCTCACACTCCCTCACACTCCCCCCTCACACTCCCCCCTCACACTCCCTGACACTCTCCCCTCACACTCCCCCCTGACACTCCCTCACACTCCCCCCTGACACTCCCTCACACTCCCCCCTGACACTCCCCCCTGACACTCCCCCCTCACACTCCCCCCTCACACTCCCCCCCTCACACTCCCCCCTCACACTCCCCCCTCACACTCCCTCTCTCTCTCCTCACACTCCCTCACACTCCCTGACACTCCCCCCTGACACTCCCTCACACTCCCCCCTCACACTCCCTGACACTCCCTCACACTCCCCCCTCACACTCCCTGACACTCCCCCCTCACACTCCCTGACACTCTCCCCTCACACTCCCCCCTCACACTCCCTGACACTCCCTCACACTCCCCCCTCACACTCCCTGACACTCTCCCCTCACACTCCCCCCTGACACTCCCTCACACTCCCCCCTCACACTCCCTGACACTCCCTCACACTCCCCCCTCACACTCCCTCCTCACACTCCCTCACACTCCCTGACACTCCCTGACACTCCCCCCTGACACTCCCTCACACTCCCCCCTCACACTCCCTGACACTCTCCCCTCACACTCCCTGACACTCTCCCCTCACACTCCCCCCTGACACTCCCTCACACTCCCCCCTGACACTCCCTCACACTCCCCCCTGACACTCCCCCCTGACACTCCCCCCTGACACTCCCCCCTCACACTCCCCCCTCACACTCCCCCCTCACACTCCCCCCTGACACACTCCCTCTCTCTCTCCTCACACTCCCTCACACTCCCTGACACTCCCTGACACTCCCCCCTGACACTCCCTCACACTCCCCCCTCACACTCCCTGACACTCTCCCCTCACACTCCCCCCTCACACTCCCTGACACTCCCCCCTCACACTCCCTGACACTCTCCCCTCACACTCCCCCCTCACACTCCCTGACACTCCCTCACACTCCCCCCTCACACTCACTGACACTCTCCCCTCACACTCCCCCCTGACACTCCTTCACACTCCCTCCTCACACTCCCTCACACTCCCCCCTCACACTCCCTCACACTCCCCCCTCACACTCCCCTCTCACACTCCCTCTCTCTCTCCTCACCCTCCGGCCTCTTCACGCCGCCTCCTCACGACCCCCGCGCGCTCTGTCGCTGTTGGCCGAGCCCCGTCCGCTGGGCCTCGCTTCCTCGTGGCCGCTGATTGGTCCGCGCCCGACTCGCTCGCTCCTCCTCCTTCCTCTAACTCGTTAATAAATAAAATATTTCGCGTTGTGTTTTTTTTTACATTGAAGAGGTTTCCACCCTCCTCCTCCTCTGCTTCTTCTTCTTCTCCATCATTCGTACGGGACGATGGTGATGGCCACGGCTCAACAAACAAAGATAACAAGAAAAAGCCACGGGGTTTTTTTTTCCCCCCCCCAATAAGGATTATTTCTGATTTAAAGCTTTCGTGCCTGCAGGGATTCATATTCTTGGTTCTTTCGGTAAAGCCACGTAGAAGGGAAACAATAAAATAATAAAAAAAATATAAAACAATACAATTCTCACGACGTTTCGACTGCAACAAAAGCAATCGAAACACACCTGCTGATGCGTTCACACCTGATGGTGGTTGCTTGTGTTGCAGTCGAAACGTCGTGAGAATTTAATTGTTTTATATTTTTATTATTTTATTGTTTCCCTTCTACGTGACTTTACCGAAAGAACCAAGAATATGAATTATTTCATTTTTTAGAGCTTCGTGCAAACTGCATCCCACAACACTGCCCATCAAGTAGCCAGTCCCTTACACAGCTGACACGAAGACTCCCCCCCCCACTACTACGTGGTAAATAAATAAATAAAATGTACGAGCCAGAGAAAAATACGCCTAACAAGACAAAAATAATCACACAGAAAATCAATCCGCTCGGTCTCCATAGCCCAGCACATGCAATGTGAATACGAGACGGTGATTGTCCTCAATAAATAACCGTCACGAAGCAGTTTCCGACCCCTGACCATGGCAGGTAACCTGATACTGCTCGAATGGAACATTAAGACAACTCTCCAGTCGTAAGTGGTGGTGCGACTGTGGTCATCCAGGACAGAGCGTGGTAGTGCAACGTGTAACGACGCTATAATGCCCCGATACACAAATACGAAGGAGACATCACAGCGATGATGATGATGATGCACTCCGCTGGTTATCTGGGCTTGACCACCTGAATGTGAAATTGCAGTTGCTGCTCTGCATCTACATCAGCCGCATGGAGCACTGAAGTCCATAGACTCAGCACTGCAGTCCATAGACTCAGCACTGAAGTCCATAGACTCAGCACTGAAGTCGGTAGACTCAGCACTGAAGTCCATAGACTCAGCACAGAAGTCCGTAGACTCAGCACTGAAGTCCACAGACTCAGCACTGAAGTCCATAGACTCAGCACTGCCCATGGACTCAGCACTGAAGTCCATAGACTCAGCACTGAAGTCCATAGACTCAACACTGAAGTCCATAGACTCAGCACTGAAGTCCATAGACTCAACACTGAAGTCCATAGACTCAGCACTGAAGTCCATAGACTCAGCACTGAAGTCCGTAGACTCAGCACTGAAGTCCATAGACTCAGCACTGAAGTCCATAGACTCAGCACTGAAGTCCACAGACTCAGCACTGAAGTCCATAGACTCAGCACTGAAGTCCATAGACTCAGCACCGAAGTCCGTAGACTCAGCACCGAAGTCCGTAGACTCAGCACAGAAGTCCGTAGACTCAGCACTGAAGTCCATAGACTCAGCACAGAAGTCCGTAGACTCAGCACTGAAGTCCGTAGACTCAGCACTGAAGTCCATAGACTCAGCACTGAAGTCCATAGACTCAGCACTGAAGTCCATAGACTCAGCACTGCCCATGGACTCAGCACTGAAGTCCATAGACTCAGCACTGAAGTCCATAGACTCAGCACTGAAGTCCATAGACTCAGCACTGAAGTACATAGACTCAGCACTGAAGTCCATAGACTCAGCACTGCCCATAGACTCAGCACTGAAGTCCATAGACTCAGCACTGAAGTCCATAGACTCAGCACTGAAGGTATAACGACGCAATAATTCCAGATCCACAGATACGAAGGAGACATCACAGCGAATATGATACACTGCTACTCCGCTGTTCCTCACGCGGTTTATCTGTGCTGGACCACCTTAACGTGAAATCGTAGTTGCTGCTCTTCATCTACAGTTGAATGGCGACTTCTCTACACCAAATCACAACAAAAACAGCAACAACCGCCACCATTCGCCACTTCGTGACGGGAACGTCACCACGGCGCTTGTGCCAGGCTAGGTGCCACTAACCCACTGGCATCATCGCACCTCCGTTTACCACGGGTCGGCTACGTACGGTGCGAAAGAAGTTCAGCGTACAGGACGCACGTAACGCTCCGTTGCACGGTTGCTCACTGCCCTGCGAGAGAGAAACAAATGCCAAGGCAACGTCGAGCCAACGTTGACACGTGGCCGGAGCTCGTCGGGCCGAGGTCGCTTACAACTGCTGTGGTGTTCTTTGGGTCTTTCGGTAAAGTCACGTAGATAAGTTCAAAGAAAATAACCAATCTACGTGAAATTTTTACTTAAAACTTTCGTGACTGCAGGAATTCATATTCTTGGTTCTTTCGGTAAAGTAACGTAGATATAAAATAAAAAATAATCAAAAAATAAATTTTAAATACATTTAAAATAATAAAAGCAAAAAACCCACAATAAAAATTGTAAAAAATTAAATTTAAATAAACTGAAAATAATAAAAGCAAAAAACCCACGACGTTTCGATCGCAACACAAGCGGTGTTCATCAGGCGGAGAGAAAAAAAAAGACCCAAAGAATATGAATTCCTGCAGTCACGAAAGCTTTAAGTCAAGATTTAACGGTCGTGTTGTTACGACGTTGCCCAACGTTGCGAGAGAGACAGTGATGGCCGGGGTCTCTTCGGGTCTCACGCAAAAAAAACACAAGTTCTCCACAACAGGGCCTGTCGATAATCAATAGGCCTCGGGGCCACCCAGCGTGGCATTCTGCTACGAACAAAGAACACACAAAATTTAACCTGTGGACTAAAAAACGTGCTGCTGCTGCATCCCCTCCATCCTCTTCCTCCACATTTGAAGAGCGATTCACGTTTGGTTGTTGATGGGCATCCGGCAATGCGAGCCCGCACGATTTAAAGTGGTCGTGGGGACAAAGGCGGCCGGACGTGGTTGCTGGCCACCAACTCCTCCTCCACCCCCTCCCCTCCCTCCTCGTGTGGTGTTCCGGCCTTCATAGGTGCTCCGAGTATCTGAACCGGTCCTGGATGTACCTTTAGGTCAACTGAGCCTCAAACGTGTACCTGGTGCGGTGTACAAAAAAAAAACATCGCCACATCGCGTGGTGCTGGTCACCCAACCCCTCGTGTACCCGTGCCAGCCTTCATAGGTGCTCGCTAGCAACACTTGCCTCAACAGTTTGTTCAGACAACACGGGGGATCTTTTTTTGTCTTTGTGGGAACTTTGGAATCATCCGAAGTCTTAGCATCAAACTATCGTGCCGCTGGCTTCTCAACTCGCAGGGGGATGGCAGAGTCATACCCACTACTGTAATCACCCAGGAATGTCTGTCCTTAACGCTCGTGACGTCACTCCACATCGACCAGCCCCCCCCCCTCATTAATATTCATGAGCAGGTGACGTCCTCCAAATTGGACACTCCCCCACCCATCCTAATTAATAAGCATGAGCGGGTGACGTCACTCAATATGGAGTACTCCCCACCCCTCACTAATAATCATGCGCAAGTGACGTCACTCCACATCGAACAGCCCCCCTCATTAATAATCATGATAAGGTGATGTCCTCCAAATGGACACCCCCCCCCCCCCCATTCATAATAATTAGCGGCTGACGTCACTCCACATGGTGGGGGGGCGAGGCGCCTCCTCCCCCCTCCTCGGCGTCAACTGACAACCCTCACTACAATGGCAGAACCCTCACGTCACGTGATCTCCGTAACGCTGTTGTTGAGACATCAAAGTAAAAAGGACGTCATGATGAACAAGGGATTATAACCTTTAAATGAAATAGGTCTGTGTCACCGCGGCCTTACAAATTGCACAACGAATTAATGCAGTGAATATCACGTCGCGCTCTGCTTTTCGCTTGCAAGTTTCAGATTTACTGCAATACACCCATCCTGAGAAGGGCAAAAGTCTGGTTGTTATACTAATGCCTAAATTACTAAAGTTGTATTTTGTTTTTACCAGGTAAGGTCCACTGAGCTATATAGCTCTTTCATTCAGAAGCGACCTGGCCACAAATGATAGCTCAACGAAGTGGCCCATCATGTGGAAATGTATAGCAGCCAAATACTGTAAACGTGTTTTCTAAATGTGGAACAAAAAAAACCGGAGGGCCCACAGAAAAATCCACGCGACCACGGGGAGAGACAGAGACAACTCCAAATATACAGCAGCAGGCGTCAGGATCGGGAATTGAACTTACGCCCTCCTGTATACCAAGCGAGGTAGTTAACATCTCTCCACCGTGACCCCCATAATGAATGTACATCATAGTGGGATGCAGTTAGCATGAATGACGCTTAACACGTAGGCTTTCGCGACCATAATAAACGTTTTTGGGTTCGATCGCGTTATTTATAAATGTGTCGTAACCCTCCACCACCCGACACGGCCAATCAGTAAAAATGTGACGTTGACAAAAGACAAATAGTTCACTACTTTAGCCCACCGGTGTGTTGAAGAGTGAATCCACAACATTTACAGTTTTTGAGTACGACATTTCGCTGGTAATTACATCCAGCATCATCGGGCAATTCACCAGAATGGTTCTTTGTCAACGTGACACATTTTTTGCTGATTGGCTGTGTAGGGTGGTAGAGGGTTACGACACATTTATAAACAACGCGATCTAACCCCAAAACGTTTATTATAAATGAATGACGCTACATAATCAGAAATCATTAATAATTTCATTCCCATTTATGTTTTATACTCCAACATGTTTATTTGCCAATATTGCTCACATATATAGTGAATTGAAATTTATGCAGTGACATAACCGTCTGAACGACGCCTCGTTGGATGATTCGTGTACTTTAATCGTGCGGATCAACAAGCGGACACTCCCGACCCTCCATTTGGGATGTTCACGTGCACGCGCGCCACGTGTCCACCTGAAATAACAGCGTCCACGTTATTTTGTGAACGCACGGGGTAAGCTGGACGGATTGTACCAACAAGATCCTCAGCCAACGTGGCGGGGGGGGGGAGCATTGGATGGTAGGAAGAGGTGGGGGGGGCGGTGGTTCTTTTTTTTTCCTGCGGTCTCCGTCACCCGCTCTGCTCGTGAGATAATGGTACCGTCCATCAATTGTGCAGCTACGTGAAATTCATTCGGGGGCCAAATTTCTTTTACCGGGGGTGAGACGACGCTGGGCCTCCTGTCCTTTAGAATGCGCCCTCATACGCGAGGAGGACGTGGGTGCAATCTGTGACCGCGCCAAAATGGTTCGCTTCATTCCTTTGGGCACAGCTATTATTTGTGCTTATTTAAATTGAAACAATACGTCCGAGCCAATTGTAATTTTTGAATTCGCGTATTTATTCATCGGGCAAATGGACAGCCTTGGGGCCGGACGCAATCTGGCCTACAGTCGGTGGACCTACAACAGGTAAGCATCGTGCCACACACGCTTGCCCGTGTTGTTACGCTTCGCCCTAGAATCGCCGGCGAATTCATTGAACAATCGCGCGCGCCGTGCGTCCAACGCGCGTTCGCTCGCCGAGCGGCGACGCGAACGCGTGCCTCGCGGGGCACCGCTTGCAGGATTTCGGCACGTGGAGTGTGTCCCCGCGGTGAGATGCTGTTAGATTAAGAGCAAGCGGACGCGTATGGGCGCCTAAATGTGTCTAAACGGTCGTGGCGTGCGTTTCATGATCGTCCGATTCACAGTTGGCGTCAATGAATAGTCGCCAACTTCATAGGCTCGCCACCACCATCATCATCATCATCATCACCACCAACAACAAAGATACCCCCTATAGTCTGTATCAGACTGTTGGGACAAGTGCTGTTAGCGAGCACCTATGAAGGCTGGCACGGTACACGAAGGGGGTGGGTGGCAAGCATCACGCCCGGCCGCCTTTGTCTCCCTAGTGGCGATGTTTAACACATCGCACCAGGTACTCATTTGAGGCTGGGTCGTCCTAGATAATCGTCACTCGTGTTGACCGTTCGCGCAGCGCGCTAACCGCTACACTACCGCTCCCCTATACACACGCACCCTGCTGCACGCACGTTCCTTACAAGCACGCACCCTGCAGCACACACGCATCCGGCACACACGCACCCTGCTGCACTCACGCAGCTGAGTCGACCTAGGGATTAGCCCCAGGACCGATTCATATAATCGTCACTGGTGCCGGTTAGCGGTGAGCGGGAATCGAACCCGGTTCGCCGGGTTTCGTAGCGGACTGGCGCTCTAACCGCTCCTCACCATCCACCACCACCACCACCACGATCATCACCACAGAGACACAAAGGTCCCCCGTATAGCCTTAACAGACACGTCTGGGGCAAGTGCCGTTAGCGAGCAGCACCTATGATCATCGTCATCATCACCGCCGTCGTCGTCACCGTCAGAACGTTCACCGCCATCTGTGCGATCCACGAGCGACCACCCCGTGGCTGAGCCCAGTGAAGCGGTGTTTGACGCGGCCCGGCTCACCGGCACCACCACCACCACCACCCCACCACCACCCCACGGTGTCAATTCGCGGCCGGGCCGCACGGACAGCGACTGAGAAAGCCGCGGTGACGTCAGCCCCGCGAGGTGCAATGCTTTGCACATCGCCGAAGCGAATTCGCAGCAACCACCACGGCCCACCACCACCCCCCTCCCCTCCTTCCTCCGCACTTGAGCGCGTGCGTGCGTGCAGCAGGGTGCGTGTGTGCAGCAAGATGCGTCTGTGTAGCAGGGTAGCGTGTGTGTGAGTGCAGCTAACAGCACTTGCCCCTAGTCTGTTAAGGCTATATGGGGGATCTTTGTCTTTATCTTTGTGTGTGCACCACGATACGTCTGTGTAGCAGGGTGCGTGTGTGCCGGGTGCGTGAGTGCAGCAGGGTGCGTGTGTGCCGGGTGCGTGAGTCCAGCAGGGTGCGTGTGTGCAGCAGGATGCGTCTGTGTAGCAGGGTAGCGTGTGTGTGAGTGCAGCAGCAGCGTGCGCGTGGGTGCAGCAGCGTGCGTGGGTGCAGCAGGATGCGTCTGTGTAGAAGGGTGCGTGTGTGCCGGGTGCGTGAGTGCAGCAGGGTGCGTGTGTGCCGGATGCGTGTGTGCTGCAGGGTGCGTGCTTGTAAGGAACGTGTGTGCGGCAGGGTGCGTGTGTATAGGGGAGCGGTAGTGTAGCGGTTAGCGCGCTGCGCTCACGGTCAACACGAGTGACGATTATCTAGGACGACCCAGCCTCAAATGAGTACCTGGCGCGGTGTGTAGTAAACGTTGCCAACTAGGGAGACAAAGGCGGCCGGGCGTGGTGCTGGCCACCCACCCCTTCGTGTGCCGTGCTGGCCGTCATAGGTGCTCGCAAACAGCACTTGCCTCAACAGTCTGTTCAGGGCTATACGGGGATCTTTGTCTTTGTGTTGTGTGCAGCAGGGTGCGTGATCCTGGCCAACCGCCCTCTCGTGTGCTGTGCCGGCCTTCATAGGTGCTCGCAAACAGCACTTGTCCCAGAAGTCGGTTAATGCTATGCGGGGGATCTTTGTCTTTGTTACACATATGCATGCCTTGCTGTGTGTGTTACATACACATCGCTGTGTATGTGAGTGGGCGGCATGCGAACTTGTAAATGAGAGACAACTCATCGTGGCGAGATGTTAACTCCCTCGCCTGGTATGTCGGAGGTCGTGGGATTCCAACCCTGATACCTGTTGTATATTTGGAGTTTTCGTGTCTCTCTCTCTCACCCCGTGGTCGTGTGATTTTTTTTCCGGGCCCTCCGGTTTTGCCCTCCACATTTAGAAACACGCGTTTCGAATGTCTGGCTGCTGTACATTTCCACGTGACAAGCCACTTCGTTGAACTATCATTTGGTAAGGCTCAGAGGGCCTTACCTGGTAAAATAAAACATAGTTTATAGTTTACACCGGGAAAATATGTATAGGCATTCAGCCTGAGTACATTATTACAAAAAATACGATGGTGATGGCGACTCTCCGACTCGAGGACTGGAATGTACGCAGGCTCTTCAGGAGCTGCTGATGGGGGTTTTGTTGTTGTTGCATAGATCGTTTCATCGTCTGAACATCGCCTCTAATTGCAAAACCACCCAGCAATGCTGCTCCCCCGATCTCGTCAAGTCTCAGAGGCTAAGCAGGCTCTGATGAGCCTGGATTGCGCTCGGATGAGCTGCCGTCCAAATGCGTGAATCGGACGACTGCTGTGGAGGCTGCTGGTCGGGGCCGATGATGTCGGCCGAAAGGGAAGAGCAGAATAGTCCAACGTTGTAGCTGTGCTGTGCTCTAACGCAGGGGTTCTTCTCCTTAACCTGGGGGTGCGAGATGATGACACATTTCCTGGGGGTGTGCGAGACATGGGCCAGATTTTGTTTGTTAGGCGGTGAATCATCGAAAGCACAAATTGAGCACGGGCGCGTAAGTACAACTTGCTTTATTTCTATTTAAAGCTTTCGTGACTGCAAGGATTCATCTTCCTTGGTTCTTTCGGCAAAGTCATTCTACGTGATTTTACCGAAAGAACCAAAGAAGATTACTTTATTTCACCAAACCCCTTTGTAGTTATTAACATTATACATTGTTTTACAATTAAGAACCAAAGGGGTGCGAGGCTGCAGCTAAGAACGTCTATGCTTCCCGTCTTCATTAACACCCCCCCCCCCCACTGACCAGCGAGGTGAAATATGGTCAAATAGTCCCCAACGACCAGCTCGACTGTGGGAAATCTCTCATTCGGCAGTGGATGGCCCCACACACACACACACAAAAAAGGCCGTGCGTGTAAAATGTGATGAGGCCTGTGTGTCTCGGGAGACGATTCATTTGCGCCTTGCGTGGTTCCGCTGTGGGGGTTTGCAAGCGCCTAGAATGACTTAGTCCAATTCTTGAGTGGCAATCCTTGCCACAGCAATTGCAAGTGAATTATGGTGACCGAGCCAGAGGTGTTTGTAAAGCGTGTTTAAAAAAAAAGTATTTTTAAATATTTTATATTATCTACGAAGCTCACTCTTGATCTGCCGCTCGGTGTGTCCTTTTCTCCTCGCCTCTCCTGAGGCCTGTAAAATGTAAAGATCGTATTATATACATTGCATTCCTTTGGGAAATATTACAAATTGTGGTTTAGATTCCTTTGTTCTGTGTTGTTTTTACTTCGGAATTCGTTTTGCTCGTCCGATTTAAACCCAGGCATATCTTGAAAAAGCGTGGTCATGGAACGAACCCAAGGTGTTATTGGGTTTAAGTGACCAAGACGACTGGAAAATGCACCACCTGCGCTCCCCACTGTACCACATCGTTGTGTTTTTATCCGCCCAGCGCTCCGCTCGTTGTTGTGAGCGTCGATCCTCTGCCCTACGTTGTTGCTGGAGGGCGACTGCCTCCAACTGCCCAGTAGCAGCAGCAGCAGCGTCCTTCACGAACCTCCTCCACAGAGGTCGAACTTAACACCTCTGCCGCCAGTCATCGGCAAGTCCACTCAGCTTCAATCCTCACGTAACACATCAAGCCACCTCTCTTTTTTTTCGCTTGTTCTGTGCCGGTTTAGCCCCCCCCACCCACCTCCCCCTTATTTCCAACAAACAAAAACCGCTTAAGCAAATGGTGGTGGCTGGCCTGCCAGAGGCGCTCGCTGGAGGGACTGTGTCCAGACCATTCAAGGATCTGTGAGTTCCTCATGCAATCCGGTCTGGTTACACCCAGGATGGATCGCAGGCAGGGCCGGCCTGAACGCTCCAAGCCGATGTAGGGTGTTCCTGTAAAGGGGCACAAGTTTTGGCAAAAAGCACGGAGAAGGGAGGGCCTCACCGTGGCCGAGAACACCCTGAGCTTCGTATGGAGTGATAAGCCAGGGAGCTGCCACACTGCGTTAAGCAGATACAGTACACATTTAACCCGCACGTACGATGCGCATATCCATCCCCCACACCCTATAAGCCTTAACAGACAGTTGGAGCAAGTGCTGTTAGTGAGCACCTATGAAGGCCGGAACGGCACACGAGGGGATGTGTGGCCAGCACCTCGCCCCGCCGCCTTTGTATCCCTAGCGGCGATGTTTACACACCGCAGCAGGTACTCGTTCGAGCCCGAGTCAACCTAGGTGATGTCCAGGATCGATTCAGATAATCGTCACTGAACGGGAATTGAACTCGGGTAGCTGGGTTCGTAGCACAGCGCGCTAACCGTAGCACCACCGCTCCCCACGATGCGCACACACGCACACCAGCACAGGTTACACTGAACGACGCATTGGCTCGTCCCCATCCGTAGTAGATGGTTACCATGGCGACGGACCGTAGCTATGGGCGGTTACCATGCCAACAACCACTCGTCTCTCTCCCTCCATCTCCGTCCACCCCCCCACCGAGTGAGCATAACGCAACTTATCACCCATTATCGCGGCACAAGCCCACGGCTATCTTCGTCATCGAAATCGCTGCG